AAACGCAAAAAGCTGTCCGTTTCTGATGTGTTTAATCCCAACGAAGACGACGACCTCTCGAAGGCAAAGAAGCGACGACTGCCTACTCTTGTGGACGACAACACTGATAGTGACTTAAGCGGAACGCCGACCACTAAAACCATGTCTTCCGGCGCTGACAATAAACTAATGTCATCTGAAGAGAAACGCAAACAAATTAAAGCCTTGATTGAGAAGATCCCCACCTCTAAAGAGGAGCTCTTTAAATATGAGATCGAGTGGTCTCTCGTCGATAATGTAAGACATCTTTGCATTCAATCATTTATTTATGATTTAACTGTTTTGTAATGATTTGCAGACATTAATGGAGCGGAGGATAAGGCCGTGGATTAACAAAAAGATAGCCGAATATATCGGCGAAGAAGAACAGGCGCTCTTAGACTTCATATGTAATAAACTTCAGTCCAAAAGTAGTGCTCAAAGTATTTTAGACGACGTGGCGATGGTTTTGGACGAAGAGGCGGAGGTCTTCGTCGTCAAAATGTGGCGCCTTTTGATCTATGAAATTGAGGCCAAAAAACTAGGTTTAGGCAAATGAGACGTTCCCTATGTTTAGCATCTTTTTTGTTAGTTTTGGAATCAAAAAATTCAATTATTTTCTAATTATTTAATTTATATTTAATTATTACAATAATTTATCTTTCAATTCATACAGAAAAATATAATTTCTTTTTTTGTATTTATATTGTATTTTAAACACAATTCTCGTACGGATTTCGTATAAAAACAAAATACACTTCTTTTTTGTTATATTTGTTTAGAGATAATTAAATAAATCTTCATTAAAATAATGCATTTTAAATTGAAACTTGGCTTTTGTGGTCTCGTATTCACTGTCTGTGCGCTTACGTCTGTGCGAAACGTATGGATGCGATGACGACATCGCCGGCGATTGTTAAGCCATTGACGAAATGTAGAGGAATTCTGTGCCTAAACTCTACGAAATGTTGTCCATTGATGGCAACCATATATCTGTTGGCTTCCACTCTGACTATTAAGTCAAAGTTAGTGCCCGTATAGAAGGGAAAGCTAGGCATTGACCGCTCCTCCGAACCCCAGTGTCCGCTCTGGCAGTGATTGCGGACAACCAACGACTCCCGCATCCGAACATTGGTATGGAATGCAATGTCATTCATGTGCGGGTGTTGTCCGCACATGAAGTCTATTGAGAAGCGGTCGGGACTATTGATGAGACGGCCAGATATATACACCATTTGTCCCGCACGTAGACTTTCGGGCCATTTGTGTTTGTAAGGAATGGGAGGGTTGTATATCGGGCCCAACTCCTGGCTCACCATCACTGGCATCGGTGCCGCGGGCGACGAATACTGTGCTTCGCGTCGATACTCAATGCGATCGATTTCAACGGTTCCATCGACTGTGAAGATACCGACACACGAGGGGGCGATTCGGTGAATGAATTCGCAAAAGTGTCGTCCATTGACCGCCACTTTGAAGCCGTGGGACTCAATGAGAATCATAGTCTCGAAGGAACGGCCGGCAACGTAGGGGTTGGTCTGCGGCTCCCGCTCTTCCGGTCCCCACCTCTGGTTCTGACGGCTGTTTCGTACGATTAGATTCTCATCGAATCGCGGGTTGAAGTGAAAGGCTATGTCTCCCGAAGTCATCAAATGTTGAGTGATTACGGATCCGACCATAAGATTGAAGTCAAATCTATTGGCGACAAAGAGGTGAGCAAAGCATTACACGAGTGGACAGAGAGTGCATACCTTCGGCAGCCATTGGGAACTCTGCCGTTGATTATGATAAGAGATCCGGGAGTGACTCCACCCGAAGGAATGGACCCGTAATGAGGGATCGGCTATACGTTTGGATGCAAAACAAAATTGTGGTCAAAGAGTGTTATGAGAGAAATGCTTTCATGGCTTCGAGTGGTCATCACTTACGGGTCGTATTGTGACCGGAGTTTGATATACAGCAGGAATTATTGAACACATGGTTTGTATTGTAATGTCGTTTAGTAATCAATAAATAAGTGTTAAATCAATTGTAAACACAATTATAAGCAATGTTTGTATAAATAGTGAGACGTTTAGTGAATGAATGACTCGTTTTACGTCTCAATTCAGTCAATACTGAAAGCCATTGCAATCGATGACGAAATGCATGACTCAGTGATTGCTTCGCAACGCTATCTATGACTGACTCCACAAGAATTGACACAAGAATTGATTCTTATGTCCAGAATATGTGATAATTAAGTCATTAATAATAGATTTCGCATTATATTAGCAATTGTTTGCATTCATCACATGTTTTGCCAATTAGTACACAATATATGAGTTTTATCTCTCAATTCGCACATCATTTGAACACTAATTGGTACTGAAATTGCATTCAATTATTGATTTGAATCCATATATAAAGTGAGAGACAATTGAATGGTTTTAATGATAGTATTTCACTGCGAAGTGAACCACACTTTGGATGGAAAAGGGATACAAAGATTTGAAGTGTTATAATGTTTAACAAATGGTCGACTATTACTACACTATTACTAGTGTTTGGTTCGGAACCAACACTTAAAGCCCAGTTTTGATCCAAGGATTGGACGCTTACTATAAACCGATAGTTTTGTTCACATTTCACCACTAGTTTTGGCACAATTACAATATTTGTATCCCTTTTCATCCAAAGTCTAGTGATTAGTAATTTCAATATAAACTTTGGTTCAGTTCATTGGATGGCCTCATAATCCATGGCTTAATGCTAACCATAGCTCGCATTGTAAGCGTAAATGACATTTAGACCACTAATTGAAACATTCATTAAAGAGTTGGCATTTTTAGTAAATTGTAATCAAATGTATTCCCATTTATTAATACATTTTTAAATCACCAAAACTTATATGAATTTAAACTTATCTTAAAAATTGCTTTAATTATTTAAAGTCATAATAAATGTTTATACAAATGGCTTATAATGAATAAAAGTCATTAATTATGATAATATTTATCTTTAAAATTAGTCAAACAATAATCATTACAATTAAATTGATATGAATTTACAAAAATGTATTGAGAAATGCATTTAAAAATAGCGGCAATTATTGTGAAGTAATGTATGGATTGAAAAGCGATTCATTCATTGGTTGTAATGTTTTTATTGACGTTTTGCCACAAAATGCGCCAAAAGTTAGCATTCATTCAATGATTCATTGATTGGATTATCAATTGAATGATTGAACACACGATGAGACCAACTCTTCGGGCGATCACATCATCACATAATGACAACAACACTACTGTTGGCCACAATCACGACATGTCGCGAGCGTTGGCGCAGTTGTCACCCAATCTGATCCATACGTACGGCAAATGCAGACAACGGCTACGGCTGTCGTCTCGGATGCGCTGTACGGCCATCGATGTCTCGTATTCACTGTCTGTGCGCTTACGTCTGTGCGAAACGTATGGATGCGATGACGACATCGCCGGCGATTGTTAAGCCATTGACGAAATGTAGAGGAATTCTGTGCCTAAACTCTACGAAATGTTGACCATTAATGGCAACCATATATCTGTTGGCCTCCACTCTGATTATTAAGTCAAAGTTAGTGCCCGTATAGAAGGGAAAGCTAGGCATTGACCGCTCCTCCGAACCCCAGCGTCCGCTTTGGCAGTGATTGCGGACAACCACCGACTCCCGCATCCGAACATTGGTATGGAATGCAATGTCATTCATGTGCGGGTGTTGTCCGCACATGAAGTCTATTGAGAAGCGATCGGGACTATTGATGAGACGGCCAGATATATACACCATTTGTCCCGCACGTAGGCTTTCGGGGAATTTGTGTTTATAAGGAATGGGAGGGTTGTATATCGGACCCAACGCCTGACTCACCATCACTGGCATCGGTGCCGCGGGCGACGAATACTGAGCTTCGCGTCGATACTCAATGCGATCGATTTCAACGGTTCCATCCACTGTGAAGATACCGACACACGAGGGGGCGATTCGGTGAATGAATTCGCAAAAGTGTCGTCCATTGACCGCCACTTTGAAGCCGTGGGACTCAATGAGAATCATAGTCTCGAAGGAACGGCCGGCAA